CTGCTTATTGTGGCTCGTGTTCGTGTGTAGTCTGACCTAATAGTTTTAAATTAGCCTCTATCAACTAAACTTCATTAAGAATGTTCTAACATACATATAGTCTTGTACTACTTATTTCTCATGTATAGAGTGGCCTTTTATTTTCAACTTTCAGTATTTCCTCTTTGTCATAACAGAAGTAGATGTAATAGTAGAAAGTGATAGTAGGATGTCAAAAGAGCATTTAGTGTAACTGATATGGTAATTAATGGACTGCACAGATTATTGGATTTACTTCTGAGTTACTCTTCACTTAAAGTTCTCCACTACTACTGCTTAACTGACTACTGCTCCTCTAATGTAATGTGGAAATTCAATAAGTTTGCTTGCCAAGTGATACCAGATGAAATATATAAATATTTACTTTTTTATTATTAATAATCTTGATAGCCTTTGCAGAGATATTGTAGAATTTTTTAAGATGGGTTTTGAAACAATTCTTTGTGATTCAGTGGATGTTGTTATGCAGTATTTTTTCAGTAAGTGTTGCTTCCAAGTAAAAGATTCTCTACACGTATTCCCATTATGTGTTTAGTGGCAACTGCATATCCATTTTTTTTCATTGTCACCATCCCAGAGTCTCATCCAGAGTTATTGCTAATGTGAAGATCCACACAATAACATAATGCCATGAGCTTGTCATCAAATGTGCCACCACATCAGGAATTTACCTTTGTTCATATATTGAATGCCTTGATGCTGTTCAGTTTTTTCATTTCTGTCCATTGACTTGATTTGCAATGCCCATTCCTTATTGTTCTTTATTCTAGATTAATTTCTCATATTTTGTTTTAATTTGTTTTGACTCTCACCTTATCTTCTGTTTATGCTTAAGGTATCCTTTACTTAGACTTAAATATACAGTGGTACCTCAGGATAGAATTTTTTTTCATTCCAGAAGGCTGTTCGAGTGCCGATACCGAACGAATTTGTTCCCATAAGGAATGATGTAAATCACATTAATCCATTTCAGACCCCTGAAAATACACCTACAAAGGCACTTACGTAAATACACTTACATAATTGTTCAAATTTTGAGCTGTTCGTATCCCGAGATACCACTGTATGTACTTCATTTGGAAAATTACTCAAATTAGATAATTTCTTCATGGCTCAAGTGTATTTGATTTTTCATGGATTTTGTAAATTACAGTTAACCCTCAATTTAATGGACTAATAAGGGAAAGGGGTATTCACTGAGGCTGATTCTCCATTAAATCTTAATGATGTTATTTTTTCCATACTGTAATTGTAACAATAACAGTTAATTCTGGATATTATTTTTCATAAATGTAACAATAACAGATGAATACGGATTTAACAGACTTTGTTACATCCAAAAATAATTTACTTTGACCACAACAATAATGAACAATTCTGGGCTCAATGAATTCATTAAATTTAATTTTTTCTGTAACAGTAACAGACACTTCTGATTTGATGGACTTTGTCTCATAAATCCAAAATAAATTTGCCCAAATGACTGTATCAATAACAGACAATTCTGAATTTAATGGATCTTGTCTGTTATTTCCAAATGTTGTACAGCCATGGATTTTGTCCATTAAATCCAAAATATGTTTAATTAGGGTCCATTAATTTTTTTTTTTTTACTATACTCCTTGTCAAAAAAAAAATTCTTTATTACTGCTGGAGACTTATGGATATATATATCATGAGGCAAACATTTGGCATCAGTTGATGCAAAAACTCAAAATTATTTAGATTAATCTTTTTCAGTTGTATCCTTTGTGTCCTGTTATTCTTTATCTCATTAATATCTTCAGTTATCACCACTATGTTGTAATTTCAGTAATGCATACTATTTTTTCCTTATGTATATGGCATTGAGATTTTTTTTTCTTGATTAAGATATTGCTTGTATGGTCACTCTTAGTAAGACAGGATTTTCCCCCAGATGTCTGTTTTCCTTATCCATAAGAATTCATATAATTTGCCTTCATGTACAGGTTGGCCATCACTAATCCAGTAGTCAGATTCTGGCACTAATTTCGGCTAGCATGATTTCAAATTTCCGGGGTCGTCACACCAACCTGCCACTACTATTTGGTGCCAGTACTTCCTGCATAAGTCATTCCAGTTTCTTTTTTTCCATTTATTGTTATAACCTGCTCACTTTTAGCCATAGCCATGGTTCCAGTGAATAAAAGAAATGCTTCTCATTGTGTAGAGCACATACACTGTACATTGTCTATAAAAGATACTGTAGCTTTGAAGCCACTGTCGGTTGCTATGAGCTCAGCTCACTCAGATAAGTTGTGACCATTAAATCTGGGCCTACATATGAGAGAATGGGTCTGTGTGGTAAATGTACACTATATAAAAAAAATCCTGCAGCATGCAGTGCATAATGAGAAAAAAAACTGCTGCCATGTTTATGGCGTAAAATTGACTTTGTGGTGTATTTTCGTATGGTTCTTATGGTTGTATTCTCGTTTTTTTTGGTATCATTTGATAGAATGGAAGATATATTACAGAAATAGATATGATTTTGATTGGTTTCACAACAGAAAGTACCTTGAAATTGAGCTCAAACTAGCAGAAATGTTCGATTTTCGTCGATGTTCAAGAGTAAACAAATAATGTCACCATCCAATACGTGTCCAACTAGCTGGTCTAATATGCAGTCACAAGTGGCTTGACATTATTTATACAATTATTACAATAATGCAGTAGTCTACATAACCGTAAATCTTTTTGTGTGAATAAAAATTCAAAATGGAAAGCAAGCGATATATAAGATTAGCCTGGAGACATGACTAATGAACAGAGAGAATGTTATTTTAGTGCCAGGAATGTCTTCATTGTTTATTCTGGACCCTATTTTGAAATTGGCATCTCTTGAAATTGTGTGAAATGGTCAGATTACCAATTTCTGACCACTTGATTAGGTAGTTGAACTAGGTAAATGGGCTGTTTCTTGTACTCAGTCGACAGAATAGAAGGAATGCTAGCAAAATAGTTTTGAGTTTGGTAGACTGGAATAATGGAATGGGTAAAAAAATAGGGCTTAAATGGGTGAAATCGCTGATGCATAAATATAACCATTGGGTTAAGCGTATTCTAACTTAACCATTCTGTAATCCGGCAAAATCACTAATCCGGCACCCTACAGGTCCCGATGGTACTGGATTACTTATGGTCAACCTGTATCTACTTGCCCTGTTCTTATGGCAAGTTTCTGTCTCTCTAGAATTCAGTGTGCCTGATACAAAAAACTTGGTGAAAATAAATTTCCATATTTATTGGAGCTCACTTCAGTTTAAAAGAAATTTTGCATTTTAAATGTACAAGGTTTTAAGAACAGGTTAACATTCCGTAATATGTCTAAAGCTTATATTCTCCACAGTAGTAGGAGTGACTAGTCAGTCATTTATGTCCCATAAACTGTGCTGGTGAGTGTATCACTTGTCACTGTTTCTTATCCAAGATTTAGATGCCATGTTTGCTTTGTAAGTACTTAGCATTCTTGGTCAGTGGTACTTGGTGTGTTTAGTGCTAATTTATATACTGTACAGGGTGTTTGATGACAGTAAACATTTGGAGTTGTTGGAACTAGTTTGTATGAGGTAGTAGACTAGCTAGTAACTATTAGTGGTGCTAACCCTCAAAAATAGAATTTGTATGGGTCCATTGTCTTGTCAGTTGTGTACATATATTGTACATAAGTTATGCATAAGTTATACAGTAGTTGTGACTACTGTGTAGTTACTATACTTACTGTGACTACCCAAGTCATTGGTGTTTTTCAGTACTGTATCCAGAGGTCGCTTAGATGTGTATGTCACTCATTTTTATGGATGATATATGCACAAAGAATACATAGTTTCCCTCCTTTCATGGTGCAATATGCTGTATTGGCTTGTGAAGGGTTTCAAATGGCCCACAAAAATCAAAATCAGAATCTTTATTTCCTTGTAAAGCTTACAATGTGTGGTTTACATGTTATAAAATATTAATTACAAAGAAGGCCACAAGCATGCCTAGGCATTTTGGGCAGACTAATACTAACTCTTACTCTATATTGATATAGGTTATAGAGTAGTTAAAGATCAAATGAAATTTACTAGTGATTAGCCATCCAGTTACATATCTCTTCAACCCTATGCATCTCTTAGTTGCCATAAGTATGGCAAATGACAAGAAAATGAGCAAAAGTATATAGTCTTTATATGTGTGTGATAAAAACTGCTTTTTGTACCCACTTAGCTTCCCTATCATGTGGTGCAATTACCATTGTGAAAGTGTGACAAAATGAAGACTAAGGTCATTGTTTACCTAAGCGACTTCACGTACAGCAGTCTTGTGGCATTGTCTGAAGTAGTGTTTTAGAGGCTGGCAGGGATAGTGAGGTTTCACACTGTGACTGTAGCAGATAGTGTAAGAATAATATGGTGTGCTTAACTCAGAGTGTAGAAACTAATTAGACTACCTCATTTTTGAACTAAAATATTAAACAAGCAACACTCTATTAACATAGCCTGTTCAAAACATGGAAATATAACAGTACTTTGCTTTGACTTTATTAGCTACATTAATGATACTAATAAATATTAAAAATGTTGATTTGTAAAATATTTTTTCTACTAAGTTAACTCCCATGAAGACTTAGGATGTTAAACTAAATTGTTTAAGTCCATATTTATTTTTTAATAGCTTTATGTATGAAAATATGAATAGAAATAATATTTTTTTGGCTTTGCTCCAAGATTTAATTTTCATAAATTTTCAAAAATACATAGAAGTAAAAATCATTTTTTTTATCTCAACCTCTCATTTTTTGGAAGGCTCAGAAAGTAGTAAACAGTTAATTAATATCACAAACTTTAAGAAAAAAAACAAAAGAAATATATTGCCAGGAAATTGATAAATAGCCTAACAACTTCAAGGCTGGCATGACCATACCTACTGCAGTAAGTTGCATCCACCTTCTCCTGCAGGTCCGTCACCTCCTACTTCAGAGAAACCGATGAGGAGAAGGACTACATTTGCTCCCTGCCGAAAGACAATGGCATGCATGAATGTCGAGACCTCCCGCCCATGAAATATCAAGGTAAAAAACAAATTATTTTATTATGTACTTCTTAAATTTTATTAAGATTAAAGGATTGGTTCTCATGTCTTGTAATGAAGCTACTGCTGTAACACTTTTAGAATATGCCATTACTGATGAATAAATAAGTGAAGTAATTATTTTTGTGATTATGAAGTCTTACTACTTTTTATCATTCCTCCAGGAATGGTATGCAATGACTCTGCGCTTCCGCACGTGTCCAATGAGCCGACCAATGAGTCGTGCGTCAATTGGAACCAATATTATGTTGATTGTCGTCCGGAGACAAGAATCCGTTTCAAGGGGCTATTTCCTTTGACAACATTGGTCTAGCATGGGTGGCTATCTTTCTTGTAAGTTTATTATTTATAGAAAAGCCTTATTTTTACTTGGATGTGTAATAACCCATTTGTACAGTAGTTAGTGCTTTCCAAGTGGAAATTTCCAGTGTTTTGATTCAGTATATAGCCTCTCCTCACTTAATGACGGAGTTCCGTTCCTAAGACCACATTCTTAAATGAATTCGTTGCTAAGTGAAGAGCATACTATAATGGTAGTGAGTTTGTGTCAGTCATCTTCGATATTGTTTTAATGTCACCTTTGCACCATATATAACATTTCAAGTAAATTTTTAAATGTTTATACAGTGGTGTACTGTATATTTAAATACAGAATAGAGGAAATCAGCTCTAATATACATTATTTAGGTATAAATGCTGGCAAGAGAGCCCATCGTAAGTCCGAGGCATTGGTAAACGTGTACATTGAACTCCCAGTTAATGACATTAATCCGTTCCAGAGAGCTTGACAATCTTTAACTGATTCTGTTGCTATCCGAATTAATTTTCCACGTAAATAATGGAAATCCAATTAATCCGTTCCAGACACCCAAAAGTGTTAATCCTTTCAGGGTTGGCAGGCCCTCTCCGAAACTTGTTCTCAGGGTCGGAAATTTTTCAAAAAAAAAAAAAAAAATTTCTTATGAAATGATAGAGAACCTTTCCTGATCATAATGACACCAAAAGTATGAAGTTTGATGGAAAACTTATGGAATTATGCTCTTGCGAAGTTAGCGGTCTTGGTGATGTTTACGCATCGGCGATTTCACCCACTTTGAGCCCTATTTTCAGCCAATTCCAATGTTCCAGTCAAAAAAGTCATAACTATTTCACTAGAACTCCATTTTTTCTATCGAATGAGTAAGAAACCACCCATTTCCTGATTTCAGCTATCCAATAAAGTGGTCAGAAATTGGCAATTTTGCCAGTTTCACACAAATTTCAACAGATGCCAATTTCCAAATAGGGTCCAAAATAAACAAGACAGACATTCCTGGCACTAAAATAACATTTCCTCTGTTCATTAGTCACGTCCCCAGGCCTCTCTAACATTTCTTTTGCTTTCCACTTTGAATTTTTATTCTCATAAATAAATAGAAGATTTACTGTTATGCAGATTTCTGCATTAGTGTAGAAATGGTATAAATAATATCAGCACACTTGTGAAAGAATATTAGACTCACCAGTTGATGTGTATTGGACATGTGGCATGATTTGTTTACTTTTGAACTTTGGCAAAAATCAAACATTTCTGCTAATTTGAGCTCAATTTCAAAGTACTTTTCACTGTGAAATCAATCAAAATCATCTCTATTCCTGTGATATATCTTTCATTCTATCAAGTGAGGCCAAGAAAACGAAAATACAACCATAAATACCATTCAAAAATGCAGTGCAAAGTCGCTGTTTTAAACCAAAAACACGGTCAAAGTTTTTTTTTTCTCACAAGAACATAAGAAAGAAGGAACACTGCAACAGGCCTACTGACCCATGCAGAGCAGGTCCATCTCCCCCTCCTCCCCTGGATTAGCCCAATGACCCCCCCCCCCAGATTAGCACAATGACCCACCCAGTCTGGTCACCTCCACTCAAGGAAGGAGCACGGCACCAGACCCAGCAGCACAAGCTAGTCACGTCCAACTCACATCTACCCACACCCACTCATGTATTTATCTAACCTATTTTTAACCCTTTCAGGGTCCAGAGGCCAAATTTCAAAGGGTGCAGCAGTGTCCAAGAATTTTCAAAAAAATAAATTGTTATTTTTTCTTATGAAATGGTAGAGAATCTTTTTCTGAAGGTGCTAAAACAAAAAGTACGAAATTTGATGGAAAATTGACGAAATTATGCTCTCTCAAATTTTGATGTGTCAGTAATATTTATGAATTGGCGATTTTGCCGGCTTTGACTCCCATTTTAGTCCAATTACTTTATTCCAGTCGACCAAATTCTTAGCTATTTCACTAGTATTACTTATGTTCTATCGATTGAGCACAAGAAATCGCCCAGTCAACTGTTTCAACTACAAAATAAAGTGATCGGAAATTGGTAATTTGACCAATTTAACACAAAGTTAAAAATATTCCAATTTCAAAATAAGGTCCAGAATGAACAATGCAGGCATTCCCGGCACTAAACTAACATTTCCTCGGCTCATTAGTTATGTTTTCAGGCTTTACAAATGAATTCCATTTTGATTTTTTTTCACATAATGAATTTTTATTCAAACCAAAAAATAGAAGATTTACTGTTATGCAATATTGTAATAATTATATAAATATCATCATCACATTTGTGAATGTATATTAGACCCACCAGCTACTGTGTATTAGACGTGTGAGGTCGTTTGTTTACTCTTGAACATCGACAAAAATTTAACATTTCCGCTACTTTGAGCTGAGTTTCAAGCCATTTCCAGTACTAAAACCAATCAAAATCATCTCTACTTCTGTAACATATCTTTCATTCTATCAAATGAGACCAAGAAATCTCAAATACAGTGGACCCCCGGTTTACGTTATTAATCCGTTCCTGAGAGCTCATCGTGAACCAAAATTATCGAAAAGCGAATCAATTTTCCCCATGAGAAATAATGGAAATCAAATTAATCCATGCAAGACACCCAAAAGTATAAAAAAAAAAAATTTACCACATGAAATATTAAGTTTAATGCACATAAACTGAAGAAGACATGCACAGTTTGTAGTACTCTACTAACAATAGAATACATGACACTTACCTTTAATGAAGATCTGGTGATGATTGATGGGATGGGAGGAGGGGAGAGTGTCAAAGTTGTTAATGTTTAGAAGGGGAATCCCCTTCCATTAGGACTTGAGGTAGCAAGTCCTTTTCCGGGATTACTTCCCTTCTTTTAATGCCACTAGGACCAGCTTGAGAGTCACTGGACCTCTGTCGCACAACATATCTGTCCATAGAGGCCTGTACCTCCCGTTCCTTTAATGACATTCCTAAAGTGTTTCACAACATTGTCAGTGTAATAGTCACCAGCACGGCTTGCAATAGCTGTGCAAGGGTGATTTTCATCAAAAAAGGTTTGCACTTTAAGCCACATTGCACACATTTCCTTAATCTTTGAAGTAGACAACTTCTTCAGTTTCTCTATCCCCTCCTCTGAAGCAGTTTCCTCAGGTCTGGCCTCTTGCTGTTGAAGATGATCTAGCAGCTCATCAGTGGTTAGTTCGTCATTGTCCTCCTCCACCAACTCTTCCACAACCTCCCCACTAACCTCCAACCCCAAGGACTTCCCCAATGCCACAATGGATTCCTCAACTGGCATAGGATTCCCAGGGTTAGCCTCAAACCCTTCAAAATCCCTTTTGTCTACACATTCTGGCCACCGTTTTTTCCAAGCAGAGTTCAAGGTCCTCTTAGTCACTCCCTCCCAAGCCTTACCTATAAGGTTTACACAATTGAGGATATTAAAGTGATCCTTCCAAAACTCTTTTAGAGTCAATAGAGTGTCTGTGGTCACTTCAAAGCACCTTTCAAACATAGCTTTTGTGTACAGTTTCTTGAAGTTGGAAATGACCTGCTGGTCCATGGGCTGCAGGAGAGGAGTGGTATTAGGATGCAAAAACTTGACCTTAATGAAACTCGTGTCCCCAGAAAGTCACTCTGCCAAGTCTGTAGGATGACCAGGGGCATTGTCTAATACCAGGAGGCACTTAAGGTCTAATTTCTTTTCAGTTAGGTAATTTTTCACATTGGGGGCAAATGCATGGTGTAACCAGTCATAGAAAAAGTCCCTAGTGACCCATGCCTTACTGTTTGCCCTCCACAGCACACACAAATTAGCCTTGAGGATATTCTTTTGCCTGAACGCTTTGGGAGTTTCTGAGTGATACACCAATAAAGGCTTCACTTTGCAATCACCACTAGCATTGGCACACATCAGAAGAGTAAGCCTGTCTTTCATAGGCTTATGTCCTGGGAGTGCCTTTTCCTCCTGAGTAATGTAGGTCCTGCTTGGCAATTTCTTCCAAAACAGGCCTGTTTCGTCACAATTAAACACTTGTTCAGGTTTCAAGTCTTCACTGTCTATGTAATCCTTGAATTCCTTCACATATTTTTCAGCTGCTTTTTGGTCCGAACTGGCAGCCTCGCCATGCCTAATCACACTATGTATGCCACTACGATTCTTAAATCTTTCAAACCAACCTTTGCTGGCCTTAAATTCACTCACATCACCACTAGTTGCAGGCAATTTCTTTACCAAATCGTCATGCAACTGCCTAGCCTTTTCACAAATGATCGCTTGAGAGATGCTATCTCCTGCTATCTGTTTTTCATTTATCCACACCAATAACAGTCTCTCAACATTTTCTAAGACTTGCGGTCGCTGTTTCATAATCACAGTTGCACCTTTTGCAACAACAGCTTCCTTGATTGTTGTTTTCCTGGTCACTGTAGTAGAGATGGTTGATTGGGGTTTGGTATACAACCTGGCCAGCTCCGACACACGCACTCCACTTTCGTACTTTGCAATTGCATCTCTTTCTTCATTTCAATAGTCATTAGCACCCTTTTTCTTGAAGGGTTGGCACTAGAAGCTTCTTGGGGCCCATGGTGACTTATTTTGCAGAAACAAGCACCAAAAACACTGTGATAATATGGAATGTACCGAATGTATCCTTAAATGCGAGCACACTGGCTGGCTTGTAAACACTGGCACACACGGGGCAGTTCAGGCCACACGTGGACACGTCTCGGACGAATCGCGTATACCGGGTTTTTTTAATGGGAACAGAGGCAAAATTTTTGCGTTAGAATGTATCGCATACCGGATTTATCGGATACCGATGGCATCGCGAACCTGGGGTCCACTGTACACCTATAAAAAACATATGAAAAAAACACTGCAAAGTCGCTGTTTTAATTAAAAATCACGATCTCATTTTTTTTTCTCTCATTATACACTGTGTGCTGCAGGATTTGTTTTATGTGGTGCACACATACCACATAGATATATTCTCTCATATCTAGGCCCACAT